CTCACCCCGTTTCTCTCTCTTTTCTCCTCGTCCGTAGCCGAAGAGGCGGTCGGCGCGGCTGTCGGCTGTGAGTAGGGGGATGGAGGGGGGGGGCTGTCCCCTGTCGGGCCTTGGGGCTGTCCCCTGTCGGGCCTTGGGGCTGTCCCCTGTCGGGCCTTGGGGGTGTGTGTGTGCCTCCTTGTGCCGCACAGGGGATTGCCGAGGGCTGAGCGTCGCCCTGACAACTTGTTCTTTCTCCTCAGAAACCCGCTCCTGCCAAAGCAGAGCCGAAACCCAAAAAGTTGGCGGCAAAGGTGAGGGTCGGTGTTGGGGGGGGGATGGAGAGGGGGTGGTGGAGGTGCCCGGTGGCGTGGTGTACCACGTCTGGCCTCTCTGCTGCTTTTTAATCATCTTCACCTGTTCCTCGTGGGAAGGCTTATTTGAGCCAAAGGATCGTTTTCGGATGCTTCTGCCAAGTATCTCCAGGTGCATCCCACCGCCGGTGGAGAATGTCCTTGTTAAACACCCCAAACTATTACTGGGAAACATGGGCACCGATTCATGGGCACCGGGTTGTAGCTTGGTACAGCAGCAGAGCTACTTGGGTGTCAAAGCAACTGTATGTAGGATGGTGTTTCATTGCTAACAAAAGGGGATAAAATATACTCAGGACTTAAAACAGTGCGTTAGGACAGGCAAAAAAAAATATTTAAATTACTTAGCCACTGGAAAAGATCTGAGTTTCCAGTCGTTCAGTCTAGCTTTCAGGTGTGTGTGTGTAAATAAGTGTGGTTTAGTATGATCTGCCAGTTTTTCAGTATAATCCTCGCTGTGCCAATAACTGAAGTGTAAAATCCCTTGTTTCTCCTGAGAAGTAAAAGAGCCCGTGTATCTGTTGGCTTGTTGCGATCTGTGTTGTTAAGTGTTCCTTTGTGATTATAAGCTTTTCTTTTTAATGTATGGATTAAAAGCATTTCAGCGGCACTAATAGAGAGCTCTACTTTGCAGAGTTCTTGGTGTTTTCATTTTATTAATCCCAAACAGTTATTTACCGATAATGCATCTTCATTCTAATAGTTTGAATATCAATGCATTACTATTCTCAAAGTTGTAAGCCTAAAGAATTTGGGGAAGCTTTATGGTTTTACTTCAGTTCTGCTTTTCTTTTTGTCCAGTGTCTTTGTGTGGCGCATCTAATTCTTAATGCTTCTTTGCATCAACTTTTTAACTCTTCTGACAGTATTTTTTCTGGCTGGGAGAAGTTTGCTCAATATGGAGTTACTTGGTGTATTTTTAACGTTAAATATTACTGTAGAAAAATACATTTTTGACAATGGAAACACAGAAGTCTACGTGTTCTGAAGTTGTCTGTTACCTGAATTTGGAATACTGAGTTTAGCCTTCATAATTTTTTTAAGGGACACTTTTTTTTTTCCCCATTAACATTTTTCAACTGTTTTCTTTTTCTTTTTGCTTTGAGGATTTAAAAAATTACATTTTCTAAAAATAGGAGTAAAGAATTTCTGAAGTTTTGTGGTCATTGACAGCTTAGTTACCTGAGATAAGATGCTTCAGCATTGATTTTTAAAAAAAAAAAATTTTTTAACCTTGCATCTCTTTTATATGGAATGTAACTTACTGCATGTTTTTATCCAGTGGTGTAAAACTCTTAGAACTTCTGGTCAATAGTTGCAATTAGCTGACAAATGTATTTTCATGAAGACAATATTTGACATGAGTGTTTGTGTGGAATATGAAATGTGTTCAGATAGCTATTTAAAAGTTGCATGTGTGAAGTAAGGAAGTTGCATGTTTTTTGTAAGCAAGAATGAATGCTTGGAGTATGGAGTACTTCTCACCAAATATTTTCTAATAGTAATCTGAGATACACATCTCTACAGTACTCAAAATATGCAAAAAGGAGAACTTTATTATTTGGAGTGAATTTAGGTCAGAGATATAAAATTAGGACTTAATTTGAAGAACATACTTATGAAATGCACACATATTTTTAAATTAGATTAGATGCATTTGAAGGTAGTGGTCTTCTGCTTAAAGGTATAAATGCTTTACGTTCTCTTGTCACTTACTCACATTGTATTTACCCAGAAAAAGTGTTATACTTTGTCACTTACCGAAAATTTTTGTTAGTATCATTAAGTGATGTTTGACATATGGTGTCAAAACCAGTGCATTTGTGTAACTCTGAATTGATAGAAATATTTTATAAGTAGGGGGATCGGCTGGAGGACAGGCAAACTTTGTAGCATTTGGTTGCTGTAAGGAATGCCTGGGAGGATGTGTTACATATTTATATGAAAGTTGCTCTCAAATACTTTTTCCCTACCCGCTTAACAACAGTTATGTAGGTACAGAGGATGTGACCGAGGTACTAGCAAAGGAGGACTGAAAATGATACTTCTATGTGATGTATTTATTTAGGTTATAGTTACTGAAATTTCCACCTGTCCATATAAGAGAAAAAAGAGAGTTTGAAGCGTTTTGTCCTTGTCCTATTTACAAAATAGAAGGACAGCATGGCTATTGTTTTTATGCGCCACAAGGTTAAATCATATATTACAAATTGCTCTAACTACTAGAATCTGTTTATCTCCACAGCCAGTTTGATTCATGTTGCTGAATATCTAAAACTGTGGTTGTTTGTCCGTGTATAATTTGGAAAACTCTTTTGGCAGTTAAATTATATATTAGCTCATTGGTTTTTGGTAGCAGCTCTTCCTATTTAGCAAGTCCATCTTGTGTGGTTTTGATTATTTTCAGTTTACCCAGTAGGTCATAGGTTTACCTACTGGAGATTTATCTCATTGTAGGATAAGTCTGAGGACAAGAAAGCTCAATCAAAGGGGAAGAAGGGGCCTAAAGGAAAACAGACAGAAGAGACAAACCAAGAACAGACAAAGGACAACGTGCCTGCAGAAAATGGGGAAGCTAAAAGTGAGGAGGTAAAGTTGTCTGTATTCTTTGGGGCAAAGCAGCTGGATAACTTACTGTACTGGACTGTCCAAACATCTATCACAAACATAAGCATTCTTATAATAGTATCTATTCCTGCCAAAAGAAAGATGTAGGCTAGTGAAACATTAGTAGATACGCCTGGAAAATTCTCGTTGTGCCAAAAAAGAGTTGCAGTGATGTGATAAGAGTCCCTGAAATTAAAGAAAAAGGTGAACATTTGACCAAAGTTCCAATACAGGATAGTATCCTTCAGAGAGGGACTGTTTTTCCTGCAGGTAGGTCTTGGGAAAATAATAGATGGTATACAGAGGGGATATTGCTCTGTGTGTGTGTGTAGAGGGGGTGTAAGGCTTTGGAGGGTTTGGTTTGGGCTTTAGTCTGCCTTTGGTGCCACTGGAAGAGGGGCTGCTTCTTGCTACAAAAATTTTTTTTGGTACATGCAATACTGATTTTCGTGGGACTGGAAACAGTTTTTGCTTAAAATCCAAAATTGAAATGATTTAACCAAAGTTGACATAACATTTAGAGGAGTCATAGATACGGACACTGCTGGTAGAAGGAACAGGGTGGTGCAGGGGTGGAAGAGAAAGTGCAAGAACTACTAATAGTTGTTGTTGCTGAAGAAATGAAAGTGCCAAATCAGTCTTGGCTGTAGTGCTGTGCTAAAATGGCCATGTTGATGAAGTTTTTGGAGTCGCTGATCATCTAACTTAAAACATCTTCCACATGGTATTCTTTTTCTGGAATGTGGACATAATTTAATTTTAAATTTAGGACAAGATCTGTAGGGAGAAGCAGTGCTTCTTACTAGGGCAGCTGTTAGCAGCTGGATAAAACACAAGTCTTCATGTGGTAGCAGGCCCAGAATTAGTCCTGGGTTTCTGCAATATTGAATGCCTCATCCACTTTAATTAGTTCAGCGGAGTTTGCTGATCAGATAATCAGATGATTTTTTAATTTAAATGTGATTCATGCTTCCTGTCTGGTTGTTGCATTGAAAAGTAATTTTTTAAAGATAGAAAATAGTCTATCTGAATTCTGTCACACTGGTGTATCAGTGTGCAGATAGATCTTCAAGCAGGGGAAAAAAGTACTTGTTTTTTTAGGTGGGTGATGGGTTTTGGTGGTTGAGGAAGGTCCAGAATGGTACTTGAGCGTACAAGAGAACTTTATGGTAATGGTTTTTCATTTGCAAGCTTACAGCGTGATCTTAGTGAAAAAGTTGTGCTATAACTAGCAATTCTTTAGTTAGGTTAACTTTCTATCAGTTTCTTAACTTTTTATTGTGTAATTTGGTCTTTTAATTTTGTGCATGTAGTATTTCAGAAATACTTTGGCAATATGTCTCAGCTGGGCTCCATTTAGTACACTAGTGCAGAGATGATGTGAATTTACAAGGAACGGATGGTGACTTTTGGGGCACATCTTCATTCTGGTCTCGTGTTGGTCCCACCAGCCAAAACTGTGGGTTTAATATCACAGCTGAGTCTAAAAGAGGCAGAGGTATGGTCTGTGCAGTTGGACGCTACTGTTTTCAGTAAGGACAGTAGTGTCAGCGATGCTGTTGTTGATCCACCATCTGAGGAAAGGCCAGTGATGACTTCTGGTAACACTCACAGAGACTTAACGCCTGAGAATGGAAATGGCTTCCCCATTTCACCCTTCAAAAGCTTCCCCCAGGTGGCAGTAAAGACTGAATGGGTGTTGGGGTTCCTGTTTGGGTGCTGCTGTCATTAAACAATCTCTTTGGCTGGTGCTGCTGCAAAGCTTTGGAATAATTAAGGATCATTTTTGTGTTAATACATATGCTACAATCTTTTTTTTTAACCTACACTGCAAATGCAGGGAGTTCTCCAACCTTAACGGAGTTGTGATTTTAATCAATTAAGTTTGTATGAACTTGTTCTAAAGTTGAGGTACAGCATATAGAGATGTGACTTGGAAAAGGTACAGCTCTGCTGCTACATTTCAGTTTCACTGAAAGTATTTTTTACAAAATTGTTTCACGTAATGCTGTACTGTGTTTCCAAGTCTTAGTTACTTTAAAACGTTGTAAGATATCAGAATGTGTTAGGAATGCTGCACTAAACTTCCAATACATGAAGCATATCTATAGTGTCTTTTCTAAACATGCTATATGGAGGGATTTTAACTTAGTAGGTTAAAAAGTCCCTTTTTCCTGTCATAAAGGCAGTAGTTATTGCAATGGGCTTTGTTCTTAAAAAATATAATAAAATCCTTTGCAGTATGTTTTGAGTAGGAACAACAGCAGCATTCTGGAATTTATATGGATGCATCTGAGGAGATAGAAGCCTTTTCAAGACAGCTTGGTTTTAGTAGGTCATTATCCAAGAGAAATAAGCAGATCGTGACACCAGTTTATTAAGACTGTAAAGCATGGTATGTAGAAACAAGTCATGGTTGTTCTGGATGTCCAGTTAGCTAACTTGGGCATGAAAAATACTACAAACCAAGAGGCTGAGTGACTTAGAAACTTTCTGCATTGAAGTGTTCTGGTTTTTTTTCTCTCTCTTTTCAGACCCCAGCATCTGATGCAGCAGTAGAGAAAGAAGCTAAGTCTGAGTAACATCCGGTACCAAGTCTTTAATTGGTGGTCCTTATACCTTTCTTCTTGTACAATTCAGAGGAATATTTTTTATCAACTATTTTGTAAATGCAAGTTTTTTAGTAGTTCTAGAGAACACATTTTTAAAAAGGAGAGAATCCCAACCCAACCCATTTTTTTACATATTTAGATAAGTGTAAATGCTTTTTTAAAGTGGTAAAATCATGTACTGGTTGTCTGTTTTCTATGAAACCAGAAATTAATGGCATGTTACATTAAGGAGAGGGCTTCGAAGCCTTGATTAGGCTTCACGTTCCATAGACTGTGAGGGACAGTTTTTTCTATCCTGCTAAATGAAGCATAACACAGATCCGACTTTGGAATTCATAATGATATGTTGAGAATGTCTTAACATTTTTAGTTATTTATCTTCATCTATGGTTGTACCATCAGTAGAATTGCTTATCTAATAAAACTGCTCCCTAGTGTTGGTTTTCTTGCTGAGTGATGTGTATCTGTGACAAAGTTATTTTTGGTAGTTGCAACTTTATTTTTTCCAACAACTTTGTAGCTGTGATGCGAAAGATTGGAAGCTTTTATTATATCTTTAAATACTGACTGAACAAAAGTTTCTGCTTGGCAGATTTAACTTGTTATGTCAGTATTCGAGATACTGGAACTTCACATCTGCTTTTAAAGGACAGCTTGTCTGCAGAGATCAAATGAAAAATATTTGAAATGGTCTTAGAAAAAAAAAAGAATTCTAGTTTTTAGATTTAAAAAAATGTGTGAATAAAAACAATTGTAAAATTGTTTATAGTGTTTGTGATCACCAAACAAAAGCCAAATAAAACTTGATTATGAAAGGATGTTTTTGTAGCTCCTGCATTGTCTATGACGACTCACAATCTAAGTGGTGTAGTTCTTAATTCTTAACCATGTTTTTAATGTTGTTAAAAAATGTACTTTTTGAGAGAGAGGTGGTAATGCAGGGAGTAGCAAGTAGAACACTGTAGTTGCAGTCTTGATAAGGACTTCCAGTTTGGAAGCTGATAGGTTTGTGCTTTTTACCTTAAGAAAAAAAAAAGTTGATAATTAGCATCACATGTTTTCATCTGTTTGGCATTTAAGAGTTTGCATATGCACTTGTGTGTAAATAACTGCTCTAAGGAAGATGCACAAAGCAGTCCTCCTGAACGTTAACTGACCAGATGGTGTTGACTGTTGTGTTGGAACCGTATTGGAATTTCCCCAAATCCAACCTTAAAATCAATAAAGCTTCAGATGTCGGGGGAAGAACGAACCTTGGCTGTGAACTTCCCCAGGGAGCTGGATGCAGGTTGGTTGTGGAGCCCATCAGAGAGGATGGGATGGGCCATGGAACAGGCTGGGCAGGAGCAGGGAGGGAAGCACAAGAGGAATCTTCCCTCTTGGTGCTGCTGCTGAGCTGTTGGGTGAGCTGGCTGTCCCGTGGGCACGCGTGCCCGCTGGGTGAGGCTGCGGGGTGACAGAGCCTTGTTTCAAATAAAACACAGCTGTGCGGAGAGCTAATTCCTGTCGTACAAAACTGTCTCGATTTTCCTTGCTGTGTTTGAGAATATTAAATCCGTCTTGCTGAAGATTTAACGGCCTTTCATCAGAAGGGGGCATATTAACTATATCTTACTTAACCTCAAAATAAAAAAATCGAATCTAGTACAGCATGACTTCAGCTCTCCCATAGAGTGCAGGGTTGTTTTGTGGTTCTTTCCCCTCCTCCCCCTCCCCCATTTCACACTATTTTGCTGAATTGCAATAGGTTGTAGTGTGGTTTTATCTTGCCAGTCTATTTGATGCCAGTCAGGCAACTGTCAGCCTCCTCTTGGGAGGAGTCAAGATCAAAAAGTAACGTTCGTTCTTTGTTTCTTTTTTTTTTTTTTTTCCCCTTGACAGAGAACTTGTTTATGCTCTTAAGTAACACCTGCAAACACAGTATCTCCTTCCTGTGCATTTTTGGTGCCTTTTTCAAATTGTCATACAGTTATTTCTAAAAAACACTAGTTTCACCTCTAACTTATTTTCTTAAACAATGCTATCATTTGAGAGAGCATTTTACCATTTTTACTTCTTCAGTACTAAAGCGATGCTTAATGTTTTCTTCAGCTTATCTATAGGATGTCCTCCAGCACTGGACCTTCTGGCCCTTTTCCACCCCAGCTGCATTCCTAGCAGAGCACACCTGATTTGGGCAGTGGCTTTGGCTTCAAGTTCTTGGATATTCCAACATTGTAAATTTCTGCTGCTTTTTTGAACCCCCTTGCCTTCCTCCCAACTCCCCCACCTTATTTTATTGTTTAATTTAGTAGTAGGGTGACATAGCTACATGACAGTCCTTACTTTCTACTTTTAGCAAGTCAAAACGACCAGTTTAATGACTAAGAAACTTGCAGGTAAATACCCCAAAATAACCTCTCATCTCCTGTTACTGAATGCCTGCTTCTCAGGCGTTCTGGGTTTCTGATGTTGAGATCCTGATGACTTTCAGTCTCTTTCCTCTAACACCTGTTATCCACTGTTCAGTTTATTGTAACTGCTCCCTAATATTTACTCTTGGGGACAAAAAGTTACGTTTTTTTACTTTATTATGGAAGTGAAAGGACTTGGCGAGGGCAAATTAGCGACAGCTTCTCTGGCACCACAGAGAGGAATTTTCATGCTGGCAGAAGGAAAGGGCAGAGGTGGTTGCACCAGGAGCACATGAGCCCTAGATCTGTTTGGAGCAGCACAGCCCGCTTGATGTGGTAAGGAATGAAATAGTCTTTCCTAGTTACATAAAGTGTGCCTAGGAAACACGTGTAGGTCAATCAACTATGAATTTTGATTGATTCTGCAGTAGATGGATACTATTGCCCTTCTCCACACAGGATGAAATTCCAACGTGGAGAATACCACCACTTTGGCTACGGAGAAAACGAGGAATTGTATATATTGGCAGTCAGTTCTGCCTGTGGAGAATTGGAGCAGAAGGCATTTAAATTGGTCTGACAAGAATTTCTGTGGACCTGCTCCAGAAAAAGTGCTTCTTTCCTGTACGGTACCAGCTCTGTGCAACTAAGGAATAGAGTGAAGGCTAATGCAGATTTGCATACAGTGCTACGGAACACACATAACGGAGAACCATCCTTTTTAAAATACACTGTGAAGAGAATGTGTTTCTTTTGAAGTTACTCAACCATAGTTTTATGCTGCAACGAGCTGTTCTGGTTAAGAGAGTGCTGGTCCGTACATGTTCATGCTGCACCATTCTGGAATTCATTTTCTAGTGTCAACTTAATGACAGCTCTTTAAAACGCGACCACAGCGAGGACGCTCAAGTGCATCCATGTTTACCTAATGAACGCCCATTTGTCTGGCATTGAACTCTAGAGGAACACAAGTGGCCTTTAAAAATGATGCAGCTGAAGCTTGCAACAAACACAAGAAGTGGGAAACCATGTATCTCTCCTGAAGAGAGGTTTTTAATGGACAGGTTACCTTTTTCTTTTCCCTGTACCTGAACTGAGATGATGCAGGAGCGCTAACCAGGCAAGGAGTGGAGCGGGAAGCAGAGGCAGCAGCCCGGGGAGGCTGCCTGCGCTTCAGGTCTACAAAAGCTCTCTGTCAAAAGCTGAAAGCACATCTGAGGTAGCCAGATTAATAAAGTACACACATATTTCTACAATGATATGCAAAAATATTTTACTTCAAAGGTTCTAAAAACCTGTACCAAGCAGCCACAGGTGCAGGAGGGAAAAAGGAACAGCTCAGATTTAAAATGCAGCATGAGTGTGGCCATTGCTACATTCACATTAGAATCCATGCTGGGCAGAAGTGAGAAACAACTCTAAGGGGGAAAAAAATAGTAATAAAAGCCCCCATAAAGAGGCTCCCAAAGCCGGGGTGGGGTGAAAGTAGCGCTGGCACATGTTTGCAGAGAGGCAACACAGGGCACTGGGGCAAAACTGCTGTTTTTGGAAAGATGATGCCAGTGAAGCGCTGCCTTCCTCCACAGGGATGGGGAAACGCCACTACTCCTTAAACCCAGGTTTAGGGTGGCCGAGGTGCCCCGAGCATCACACCTGGGGAGCCTCGGTGGCGCAGGTGGTGACCCGTCGGTCTGAGCTCCGCCTGCAGCGGCAACGGGAGCCAGCGGACAAGCGAGTCACAGCGTTTCTACACCGATCAGGTGATGCACAGTTTGCAAACACACGCTTGTGCTGCCGCCCCAGCTCTTCCAGATCTCTGCCAGCCCTCCGGCGACCCCGGGCAACGTGCGAGCCTTCGAGACGAAAGTCTGGGCCCCGCAGCGCCCGGTGCCCGCTTCGCCCTTCCCCCGGCCCCGCGTCGCCTCAGCGAACCGCCGGCCCCGCGACCGGCTCTCGTCGTGTGACGGCGGGCTGCGGCCGGTCGCGGCCTGACGGGGCCTGCCCGGGGTAGGCGAGGGGATGGTCGGCCGGGCCGGGGGACAAGCCGCGTCCCCGGGCGCTGAGGGGACCGCCGCCAGCTGCGGGGGCTTCTCGGCCCCGCGCGCTCCCGCCCCTCAACGGCAACCGCCGCGCGCCCCGGAGATGCCTCCCCCACCTCAGCGAGCGGCCCCGCCCACCAGCGCTCCGTCACCAAGCCGCCTCCCGCACGCAATCCTTCCGCGCCGGGGCCTCGCGTTCCCCAAACCGGCCACATCCTCCGCCCTACCCGGCCGCCTTCCTCTCCCCCTCCCCGCCTCCCGACCCCGTGTATCTTCCGCGGCCACACGCTCACCCCTTCACCCCACCGCTCACCCCCCGCCGGTCCCCCCCGGTCCCGCCACAGGGACTACTTTTTCTCCACACCCCCTCCGGGGCGTGCCCGGCGCAGGTGGCAGCGGCGGTGCTGCGACCTGTCGCGCGGACAGCGGCGGCGCCGTTGCTGAGGCTGCGCCAGCGCGGGGGAGGGGAGGAGAGCCCGAGCCCGAGCGCGAGCCCGACGGGGGGGCGGAGGCGGCTCGCTCCCGCGCGCGGAGGGAGGGAGAGGAGGGGAAAGGGGGGGGGCGGTTGGCTGGCGGTTGGCGGTGGGGGAGGGGCGGCGCTGACAGGGCTATGCCGAGCCGGGCCCTGCCCGCCCCAGCCGCTGCCTGAGCCCCTAATCCCTACCCGGGCAGCAACGGCCGCCGCCAGCAGCGATTGTGCCGAGTAGAAGAGAGAGGCGAGGGAGCTAAGCGAGCGGCGGCTGCCGGGCCAGGGCCGCCATGGCTGAGCCCCCGGCCTCTTCCAACTCCGGCGGCGGCGTGTCCCTGTCGCTCATTGAATCAGGTAAAACCGCCGGGGCGCGGAGCGGCCGCGGGCCAGGGCGAGAGCTACCGCCGGTGCCGCCGCCGCTCCCTGCCGCCATCTTCCTGACCGCGGTGATGAATTACAGTCACCCCGGGGACTCCCTCCCCACCCCCCGCCCCGGCCCCGGCCAGCCCCGGACTCATCCCCCCCCGTCTCTCCCCGTGTCTCTTGCAGAGCTCTACTTCCTCATAGCCCGGTTCCTGACCACCGGGCCCTGCAGGAGAGCGCTGAAGGTGAGTACCGGGGCGCCGCACGCTCACCTGGGCGTACCGGCTCGCACCCCTCGGCCGTTCGCTGCCGCAAAGAGGATTGAAGGGGAGGTGTGCGCAGCCGGTCAGCCCCCCGCGCCCCCTCCCCCTCCCGGCAGCAGCCGCTTGAGAAGCCGGAGGCTGCTCGTCCCTAACTCTGTATTTTTTTTCCCCTTTTCTCTGCAGGTGCTGGTGCAGGAGCTGGAACAGCACCAGGTCTGTGTGGGCTCTGATGAAATCATCTCTCGCGCTGTAGTCAAAAGTTTCCTTTACAAGTCATTGAAGTTTCTTCCA